ATGGATGGATGAGTAGGTGGATGGATGAGTGGTTGGGTGGGTGGATGCATGTGTAGATGAATGGATGGATGAGTGGGTGGATGGATGGACTGACAGGTAGGTGGGTGAGTGGATGGATGGGCAGGAGGTAAATGGGTGGATGAACTTGTTGGGTGGGTATATGGATGGTGGCTGGGTGTTGACATGGGGCTGTCTTCCCTGTCCCTGAAAGCTGGTCCTCAGGTCATTTGGGTGACCTTCCCTCATGCTCCTCACTGCTTCCCCCACCCCCTGAGCCCCCTTGCTTTCCCTCTGCCCCACTTCAGGTCTGACTGGTTCTTCCATGACTGCCGCCGCCTTCGGCACTTGGCCCTTGGGCTGTTCTGCTGCGGGGTCTCCGTCTACTTGGCAGGTGCGTGCGGGACAGTGCCGGGCGTGGAATCTGGGTTGGGACAGGAGGTGCACGGGCCCACTCTGGGCGCCCACCTTCTTCCTCTGGGGCCCTGGCCGTGCCCCTGCCTCAGCTTCCCCTCAGCACAGTGGGCACGATGACTGTCCCCGCTCACCAAATGGCCGTAGGGATTCTGCGCCAGTCCTGGTGGCAGCAGCCTCCTACCCCAGCTGGGTCTCCGGCCCCCAACCGTTTGCTGACCAGCGTCCACGGCCTGTGGGCTCCTGAGGCAGTGACTCATGGGTGGGCCTGGAGAAAATGGGCCTGAGCCGGCCGCTCAAGTGGATTGGGAGCTATGATTTATGAACTAGAAGTGCAGTTGTACACACTGGGTGCTAAGGTAGAAAAACCCCGACTATTCCTGTGAAGATGCACAATTACTAGGTATCGGTTAACATTATTTAAAAATGAGGGCCTGGTGGGGCCCCTCAGTGGTGCGTGCTTGCCCAGCGTGTGTGAGGCCCTGCACTCCGTCCCCAGCACCACAAAATAACAGCAGCAGCAGTAGTAATGCCCCAGATGCCAGAAGACTGCACCTCGCAGATCTTCCTGATTTGTAATTTCTTTCCTTATATCACCTTTCCTCCACCAAGTGTCATTAGCGGGACTCTTGGTGTCTAATGCATACTTTCAAGTTTAAGAAAGGTGTGTGGCCAATGCCCCACCTACCCCGCAGACAACCTCTTAATAATAATATTATTAAATATAGTAATATTCCACAAAAGTAGTAATATTCCACAAAAGTGTTGGTAACCTAGAGAATGAGATTTCCTTACCACAAAAATGAAATCCCCTCCCACTGGATTCTTTTTGAGGCCTGGTAACCTCATTTAGCAAAAAAATCAGATGAAAGATAAGGGAGTCCGGAGGTGATGGTACCCCCCTGTGATGCCAGCACTTAAGAGGCTGAAGCAGGAAGATCACACAAGTTCAAGACCAGCCTGGGCTACGAAGTGAGCCCAAGGCCAGCCTGAACTGCATAGGGAGACCCTGTCTCGAAAAAAAAAAAAAAAAAAAAAAAAAAAATCCCCAGCAAATTATAAACTATTTTTATGAGGCGGGAGCCAGGACGCAATCGTATAATGTAAAGCACAGGAAACCGCGTAACTTCTGTTGTTTGAGTTCATATGAGGCTCCAAAAGTGAAGGTTTCAAAGGGAGAACGACAGGCTGACTGGGGCCCTGCACTTGTCGGGTTGCTGGCTTCAGGTGGGGTCGGATCCAGGTGCCTGCTGGAAATACTTTTGTCCACTTTTCATCTGCTGTCCCCCGAGTGGACACCTGAGAAAGATGCTGGATCTGAGAGCATTTTTGACACAGTGCCTGCACTCATGCCTGTCGCAGGCTGACAAAAGTGTTGGTAACCTAGAGAATGAGATTTCCTTATCACGAAAATGAAATCCCCTCCCACTGGATTCTTTTTGAGGCCTGGTGACCTCATTTAGCAAGAACTCCCAAATGCCTGCCCAGCCAGTCGTCCTTCCATTGCTAGTCAGAGCCGAAAGAATAATGATTTCTTTTAAAAACTGCCCAACGTGATGGCGCACGCCTGTAATCCCAGCACTCGGGAGGCTGAGGCAGGAGGATCACCGGGAGCTGGAAGCCCACCTGGGCTACACAGTGAGTTCAGGACCAGCCTGGAACACAGAGCAAGACCTTGTCTCAAACAAAACGAAAAAAAAAAAAAACCCTGGCAAAACATGTCTAGGAAAGAAAGGCATTTAGAGCGGAAACGTCCTCGTTCTCCTGGCCGGACGCGGCCTGCATGACGGCCGCCAAAGCAAGAGCGCAGAGCCAGAAAGCAGAACACAACCGGGGCCCCACCCACCGCGGAAGGACCCGGCGAAGGGTCCCGGCGGATTGGACTGGTCATGTGACCTCTCCCCACCAATCACTGACCAGAGAAGGAACCGCTCTCATGGCCTAGCCAATCATGTTACCGTTGCCAAGGAGATGGGGCTGGGCTGCGGACCAGTGGCCCCATAGAACCCAGCTCAAGGTTCCTCACAGACTCGGGCCTGGGGATGCCTGTGCGTTGTGACGACGCGGTCTGTCCGTGGGAGCGCAGCGGTGCGGCCTTGCCGCCTGCTGCCGTGCCAGGGCCTCGCCGCAGTTCCTCAGACCTGGGGGCTGGGCCCAGGGCTCGCACTGAGCTGCAGACCCAGTCCCTTTGTGAGCTTCTCACTTCACAGACAGCATCTCACTAAGCTGCTACGTTGCCCTGGCTGGCAACTCGTGATCCTCCTGCCTCAGCTTTGCAGAGCACTGGGACTACCGGCGTGCTCCCTCATGCCTGGTAGGGCTCTGTTCCTTTTGTATGGCTTAGTAATATTCCACAGTATAGATATTCCATCAGAAAGGGCTTCCTTTGGTTTGGGTTCAATTGTAGTGTGGGAGATGGAACTCGATCCTGGAGCATGCTAGACTAGGGCTCTGCCACGGGGCTGTACCCGCAAAGGAGGGAGCTCCTTAAAACACAGGACATCAAGCTAGGCACTGTGGCACATGGCTATCATCCCAGCTACTCAGGAGGCTGAGGCAGGAGGGTCATGTGGGATCCCAGGCTATCTAGCAAGACCCCTTTCCAAAACAAACAGGAAAACTGCCCTGGCTCCCCTGTGGTCTGGCCCTCACCCCACAGCCCCTCCCTGCCATCTGCCCTGGCCCCAGCTGCACTGCTAGGCTGTTTCTGAGCCTCCAGCGCTAGAGCACTGCTGCCCCAGGACCTCTGCACTTGCTGTTGTGCCTGCGCAGGCCCCTTCTCTGCTGTCCGCGGGGCTGCTCCTCCTTCCCCTCCAGCTCTCAGCCTCCGCCGCAGCGGGAAGCCGGTCCCCAGGCGCCAAGCCCTCCAGGCTGATGAAAGCCCTCCTGTCACCTCCTGCTGTGGGTCTTTATGTGATGGTGATGTTTGTGAGGCACGAGAGGGTGAGGAGGGTTCATGTGTGCCATCCCACGGGGGCTCTGTCCCCATCCCCGTCCACGCCCTGTGAGCCCCACTATATCATGTTGCACATGAGATCTCCCTCAGATCCCATGGGCTCTCCCTGAGTGCTTGGAGAACAAACGTTTGTTGACTGACTAAACAAGAGCTGTTTCCTCCCCCAGCACTGTCCATCTACGCCCTGCTGCTTTTTGAGATCGAGGCAGGTGCGGCCGCCGCCTCCATCCTGGGCTCCGGGGCACTGCTGCTGGTGGCCGCGCTGACCCATGCCCTGCTGCAGGCCGCCCGGGCCTCCCGTGCCGGCCTCCATGACCTGCCCCTGCCCAGCTCCGAGGACGAGCCCGGCCGCCCCGTGGGCATCTCCAAGGCCAGCCCCGGCCCGCAGCCCCAGCAGGGTACCCACCCCCAAACCCCCTACTCGTCCTGCCCAGGGCTGGGGGACCCCATTCGGCCCATGGCCACTGCCACCGCCCCTGCAGCTCCTGAGGTCGGCCGGGAGAGCCGCCTGCCCACACCCTGCGAGCCCCGAATGCTCCCAACCAACATGGGGCACTGGCACAGGGTCGCATATGAGATGCACTCCATGCTGGGCCACGGGCCGGGCCCTGTAGGAAAGGACTCCACACTGGTGTGAGCCCAGGGAGCAGCAGCCAGGGCACGTAGAGACCCGTTCTGACTCCGCTGCAGTAGCAGTAGAACCTGATATAGCTCACAGCATCCCAGTGCCTCATGGTGCAAAATGGCTGCCAGGGCTCCAGCCTTTACCTCCTCACTAGACCTTGATGCCAGGGAGGCTGGGAAATATGGCCACCCAGAATGAGTAAGGTTCTGTAATAGGCAAATGGGGAGGACAGGGCTTAGGTAGTGATTCTCTAAGTGTCTCCCTCCATTTTACAGATGAGGAAACCGAGGCCCCCAGAGAGGCAGTGACCCACCAGGGGTCTCAGCTCTGAGTGCCACCTGGGTCCTGAGAGCCCCGAGGATGCTGATGGCCGGTGACCCCTGAGCCTCAGGGCCTGCGAACAGTTGAAAGTGTGGGGCGTTCAGAGCCACCCACCCCGGCAGGCACAGGCACAAAGGGTGGGACCCTGACTTCTGGCTGGGAGCCGGTTGTGCCTCAGTTTCCTTGTTTGTAAAGTGGCCCTGGAGAGGACCCCTCACGTGGCCCTGGCCGTGTGGGGCTGCGGCAGGACCCGCCTGCACGACGACAAATAAACCCTGATCGGCTCTATCACTGGAGCAGACCCTGCCTCCTCCCAGCCGGTGGGCGAGGAGGGAGCGCCCAGGCGCCAGAGTGTATGCATGGCAACAGATGGGGCTGGGCGGGAGCTGGGGGGAATAAAGCAGACAGCACCTTCCGGGCACAGCCAGCTGGCCCTGCTGAGCGCAATGGCCATGCCGCAAAGGCCCCTGCAGCTTTTATTTCTCAACAGGGTCTCACTGTGTGGCCAGGCTGGCCTTGAACTTGCAATCCTCCTGCCTCAGCCTCCCAAGGAGCTGGGATCACAGGGGTGCAAGTAAGCATCTCCTCAGCACATGTCCAGTATTGCAGGAGCTTTGCTGGCTTCAGGTGTTCCCAGGACAACCAGATTCGCAGATAAGGAACAGGAGGCCGGAGGAGGCTATGGAGGAGAACACCCAGCCAGGGCCCTAGGACCCGGCCTCACGGCGGCTGTGTGGGACCCGCTGGAGACCTCTCTGGGACGCGCAGGGGCTGGGACTCCCGCAGAGTGAGGAGAAGCCCGGCGGACACCCCTGTGAGGACAGCACTCGGAGGCCGAGGCAGGAAGATCCTCACGTTCAGCACAGCCTGGGCAACTCCACGACTCAGGGAGGCCGTCTCAAAATAAAACAGTGCAGCTCAGTCCCAGGAAAGAGGGGAGGGAGGACCCTCGCTGGGTGCCGCAGACCCCTGCCCGCAGCCCGCTGGGAAGAGGCTGCACGAGTCAGTCACACCGCCGGTGCAGAGGCAGAGCAGGGGCGCAGGCCCGGAGGCAGCAGCCGCGTCCCCGCGTGCAGAGAGAACCCCACCCCATGGAATGGCGGCGGGCCCCAGGGCCCAGGGGGCGGAGGCAGGCTGGGGGCCTGGGCGGCTCCCTGGGGCTTGGAGGGGGGCACAGCACCGGCCGCGCTGAGCGCCAGGCGCCAGTGGACAGTGTGGACTCCACCAGACGTTCGCAGACACTGGCGGAGCTCTGAGGTCGGCTCCGCGGCCAGGGCCCGGGCAGGGAGCCGTGGGTCCCAGGTGTGGAACCTGAGCCTGGGAGACTGCGGGTCCCTGAATGGGGTGCCAGGTGTCCCAGGCTCTGCCAGGTGCTCAGGTGTCAGCGGCACCTGACCAGGCTGGCATGGACAGGCGCCGGGATGGGGGCAGAGGTTGGGAGCTTGGTAAGGCAGAGCTCGGCCCTCACCAGGGCTGCAGAGGGCGCTCCGGGGCTCAGCCAGGGCAGTGGGGTCTGTGCCTTTGTGTGGGTGCAGGGAGCTGGCTCTGCTCGACCCTGAGGACAAAGCCTGGGGGCAGTGCAGAGCCCCTGCTGGGCTCACTGGACACACCTGTCATCTCAGCACTGGGGAGGCTGAGGCAGGAAGGTCGCTGAGTCCCTGTCTCGAAACAACAAAAAAAATGGGGAACTGAGGTGTGGGCATCGCTCAGCGTTGCAACCCCCCTGCGGTGCTGGCCCCCTGCATGGAAGGGCTGCAGGGTGAGCACCTTTGGGATGGCGTGGGCCGTTGACACCCTGGCTGGAGGGGCCACCCGCGGTCCTGGCCACACAGATGCCCTGAAAAGTGACCCGGAGCCAGTTCTGGGCGGCTGGGACGTGAGAAGACAAAGGCCTTTGCTTCGCAGCCTGATCGGATTGCGCAGCCTGATCGGATTGCGCGGCCGGCGCCAGTACGCCCAGGAGCCCCGGACGCGGAGATGCCGCAGATAGGGCACCAGCTCAGCCAGGACGGCTCGCGCCCCAGCTGCCAGCGCCACTCAGGGGGTGCCGACTCCCCAGGCTCTTCCCTGGGCCACCACTCGGCCTGCCCTGTGCCACCGCCCCCGTGGAGCTGGCTCCAGGGCACATGCCTACAGTCTAGTACTTGGGAGGACCGCGAGTTCAAGCCCAGCCTGGAAACTTAGCGAGCCTCTGTCTTAAGATAAAACAACAGAAGGAGCCCCGGGAGCGCAGCTCAGTGCAAAGGCCCCAGGTTCACCCCCAGAACAGCCACACCCACTGAGGCAGCGGCACGCCGGACACGCCCACACAGAGGCAGGCGGGGCGGGGCGGGGCGGGGCGGGTCCGGGCGGGGCGGGTCCAGGCAGGGCAGGCCCGGCTGGCTGGCGAACTGCCGTGAGGAGGTTGAAGGAACTTGCCAACCCTGTGCGCCATAAGGGCAGGAGCCAATGGTCTATAAATCGGTTTCCAAGGCAACGTGGCTGCCTTTTGCAGTGGTAGGAAGGGAACCCGGGGGCCTGCCCTAAGATACACCCCAAGATACACCCCCAGGCTTTTTTTTTTTTTCCTCCTCCTTTTGAGACAGGGTCTCCCTATGCAGTTCAGGCTGGCCTTGAACTCACTTCGTAGCCCAGGCTGGCCTCAACTCCACAATCCTCCTGCCTCAGCCTCCCAAGTGCTGGGATTGCAGGTGTGAGCTGCTACCCTCGACTGAGGGCCCCATCGGTTTCCAGGGACTACGGCCCCAGCTCCCTCCCTCCCCGGGCCTCAGTTTCCCCTCTGCAGGGGGGAAGCCCACCCTCGTCGGCAGGGGCCCCGCGTGCGGGTGAGGACGAGGACGGCCAGCGAGGCGGGTGGGGAGAGGACGGCAGCCCTGGACGGTAGCGTCTTTATTTCCGGGGGACGCGCGCCGGACTCCAAGGCCCTGAGTGCGGCCCCGCGCTGGCCCTCGGCGGCGGAGGCTGCGCGGTCCACAGGGCTAGGAGACGCTGGGCGGCAGGCGGGCGGCCGCGGTCTTCTCCACCACGAAGCCGTAATTGTACTGCGGGGGAGGGCGCGGTGAGCGGGGGCACGGGGGCGCCCGGGCCAGGGGCGCGGTCCCGCCCTGCACCCACCTCCTCCTCGATGTCGGCCAGCGACTTGATGGTGAGCTCCGCGAAGGCAGAGAAGGCCTGCGG